GAACACCAGGAAAAAACTTTAACCAGTGATTATTATACCTTTAAGGGTTATTCCAGTAAAGTTTCAGCTGAATTAAAATTTGGATGATTTTCGTGCTAGTCCCCCTTTAATCTTATATCAAAAACGAAAGTGATAGACCCGATTCCCTGTAACTGGAAGTAGAATGCTGGATCGGAACTGATTGATCGACCATTTTTGAACCAAATGTACGTCATCTTTACCTCTTGTTTCTCCTGGAATAGGAGTCTGTAAAAGTTTCGCTAGATGAGGCTGTGTTTCAATCAAACCGTTCACCAATATTTCATATGCTTGTACAGGTCTTCGACCCAACATGGACAACAAGGCCTCTGCCTGTTTCTTTCTCGTTCGCTCGTCTCGTACTTCGTCCATGTCATCTTCGTCAAAAATTCCCTCCTGATATAGATAACCAAGCAATTTCCGTGGCTCTAAGTCCTTTAAAATAGAGTTATAGTTCTTTTTTAGTCGGTATTTTAATATTTCAGGCTCCATGACTGCTTCACTGACTGGACGCGTTATCAAACGACAAAAAATATAAATTTACATTTTTCAATATTTCATGGCGAGCTTTTCATGGGACTTTCCCTTGTATGTGACGTCATACCCCAAGGTATTTTTCCCTTGGAAATTTCCCTTATTCGGAATACTCCTCCTACACTAGTTACACTAATGCTAAAAAAATTATTCTTCGCTTTGGCTTTGTGATTTATTTTTTTAGTCCTATCTAAAAGATCGTTAAAAGATAAGCAAACAAAGGTAGCCCAAGCTTTCTAGACATCTTTTATGTCAGTCAAATGTAAGTTTGTAAGACTCAACTAAAAAGCGTTGTAGTTCATCCCACGCATAACCAAGGCGAAGATAAAGACGATTTAGAAATTTATATTTATTTTTATAAAGTTTTCTTGAGAAAAGATCATCATATATCAAGAATGTCAAACGTAGAGTTTGGGTTACCTGTGGCACAAGGGACTTGATATAAAAGAAAGCTGAGTAAAATGGTGGCAATATAAGCCTTAATTTTTCTCCCCTCTTTATTTAATCGATTCTTATTGTACATTTATACCAAAGAAGTGTAAAAATAATTTCTTTACTACATCTCATAGTTTTAATCAATACCCCAAAACAACCTCTGAGCTGATCTAAGTCAGGGCATGGCTAACTCACTGATCGATACCCTGAAACAACCTCTGAGCTGATCTAAGTCAGCGCATGGCCAGCTTGCACATCAAATAAATTGGAAGTTAGCTTCTTCGATTTTGCAGAGGAAGGAAAACTAACTGGAGGACCCAGAGAAAAACCCTCAATTCAAATGAGAGACCTAAAAATGAATCTACTGCTTTTCCCATTACTAATACCATGACAATATTGGGATCAGTAAATAGGAAAAGATGCTCATTGGCAAATATATATGTATATATAGCAAGTTTCTAACCATATAATATAAATGGAATATTTACATTCTGAAATGCAATCAATAATTATCAAAATAATATTTATCTTTACAAGTAAAGTTTGCTAAAAAATGCTAAACTTCACTTAATCTGTCTTGTAGCCTATGACTTGTGTATGGCTGTCCAAGGGAATTAACAGATGTTGCATCGCCTTCAGATGACGATATTTGGTCCTCTGCAGTGCTTCTTGGAGTCATATTTTGGTTTAAAGTCACAGTCCTTGTTTCATTCTGGTATGCTCTTTCCACATCATGTGGAATAATGTACTGAGCTGGTTGTGAGTTTATAGCTTCCTCGTAAGATGGTGGAGGAATGCCGCTCACTGGGGTTGATATTGCTTCATTATAGCTTGGAGGTTCCATAACTTCTGTAACATGCCCATTTTCATGTTGACGACAAGAAGAAGCACAGTAGTAACTCACTTCAACATTGCTTCTTGGAGTCATAAACTTGCGCCAAGTCCTCCACAACCATATACCCATGAATAACATCACTATGACGACTGTGACTGGCCAAAAACTGTACCATGACAGCTTTTCCTCCTTTGATGGGCATGTTTGCTCATCTGAGCCATCTGCGCAGTCTTTTTTTCCATCACATCGTTTATGTGCTTCGATGCATTGATGACTCACACAAGCAAACTTCTTTGAGCCGCACGGCCCTTCAATGGATGATCTGTATCTTACTGAAAACCAACCCGTATTCTGGATGTCACTCGAGACGGATTTTAAAGTTAGCTTACTGGATCTTGACACTATATCCCTGGGAATATCCGGCCCACAAAACTGGCCAATTGGTGACTCTAAGTGTGCATCATCGTACACACTTACATAGCCGTACTTACATCCCTGAGTAGTGTGACTAAAGTTAAATGTATCAAACATCAATTGAACATGCTTTGATGTGTCTACTTCAATCTCCCATGTGCACTCTGTGTTTTTGGGGTAAGAAAAAGGGTAGTTCTTTGAAAATATGTAGCCTTTTTCTGAAGTGAGTTTTGTATCACAGTTTCCTTCACCAACAGATACAGTCCTAAAATTTGCAGTGAATCTAGAGTTTTGTCTATTGGAATCAGTTTTAAAACGAAACCATAGAAAACTCCCAATGGTTGAATAAATCGTTGGAGGTTTGTTCTTTCCACAAAAACGCCTTATCCGCGAAGCTAAAACGTCTGAACTTAACTCGACATTCTTGATTTCCTTTACTTCAAGGAAGTCAAATTCACAAATAGAACTGCTTCCTTCAAGATCAAAAACATCAAAAGAAACTTTAATTCTTCCTCGAGGGACGGAGATTGTATAAATACACTCGATATTTGGTTTGTAGGTTACTTCTTTAGAGGAAAAATTGCCAGCCAGAGACTCGAAATGGCGACCACATGTAGTTTCGAATGTCAACTTGAACCTGTTCTCGCTAGAGGTCCGAAAATCAGTTTCAAAACGAATCCACAGTTCATTCCGCGATGAGTAAACCTTTTTAGGGATATTCTGTGCACAATAGCGTCCTATTAGTGTAGAGTTCGCGTCTTTACCATCTCTGAACTCGATGTAATCGTGCTTACATGAACAGCACGTTGTCTTGAGGACAAGATCGACAAAAACAACTTGAATCCGTTGATCAGAAGGAACAAGGAGTATATAATCGCATCGAGTTACTTGCCCGATTTTAGTCCCACTTACTGGTGATCGAAGTATTCCGTGAGACTGTTCAAAGATTCCACCACAGCACTTACAACCTTCCACCAACAACGCCACCAAAACCAAGGTGACAGGACTTAATATCATAATTGATCGTAGATTTTTGCCTCAGTAAGCATCTCTCACATGTCCTTTAGATAAAAGACGGCCTATTGTTTGGCTGAGAATCACCCTTGAAGAACGATTAATACAGAAGCACTTGATGACAAGAGAATCTCATGAATCATGATCAAAACATATCGTCTCGCTGTTCATCGAGGATTCTATGGCGAACAAGAATCGCTTATAGTCGTCTGTATTTTGCTGATTGAGAGATAGTGACAGACGTCAGTATTCATTAGGAAGGCTTCATTGGGTTGGATGGCGGCGAATCGCATCCATTCTTGTTTAATTAGCAGTTTTTTTGGCGTGTCGAATGGTTTTAGCCCTCGTGTGTTTGCATTCTATACCACACAGGAAGCCCAAACAATATCAGCTGTTTTGCTACTCTTCTCTTCTCCTCCATTTTCTTCCTTTCATCCTTTCTTTCTATCCATTTTGTATCTACAAAGATATCTGTCTTTCTTTCTTATTTGGCAAAGTACACATTTATCAAATAGTTAAAAATACAACTACGCCTTCTCTACGATTGTCTCGATGGTATTGGGATCCCTGTTTATTGATCAGCCGAGTAAAGACTATCATTCTATTATGTAACCAGTTTATTGTCGTGCCAAAACAACAAATATGGCCTCAAAATCGAGGGTTATAATTTGTCTTCTACGAAACGACCTTCGCTACCACGACAACGAAGTAAGTTCCACGTCCTCCTGATTATCTTTATCGAGAAATTCAGAACATTTTAAATCATTTTCGACGTTTTTTCCCCAGGTTCTTTGTTGGGCTCACAAAAATGCTGACCTAGTTTTGCCTCTGTACTGTTTTGACCCAAGACATTTCAGAGGCACGTGGCATTTTGGCTTCCCAAAGACTGGTCCTTTTAGGACTAAATTTCTTCTCGAGAGCGTGAGGGACTTGCGTCAAAAGCTTCAAGACGTTGCCAGGTTTGTGGCAAATATATTCTGTGTTTTTAATTTGGTGCAACGTGTGTGTGCATGTGGAGAAGGGAGAGTTTGTTAGAGAAGAAGTAACGTCGTAAAAAAAGTATACTTATTTTAATAAGTGATGAAAGAATATCTAAATGAATGGAAGTATGGATAGATGAATGAATGAGAGGAGAAAAGAATGGATGGATGGATAAACGAATATTATATGTATGTACAGAAGAATAAATGAATAGATAAATGAATTAATGGAAGAATGAATGAATGGAAGAATGAATGAATAGATTAATTAATTAATAGAAAAATAGATGGATAAAGTAGATAGAATTCCCATTGCATCCCTATTGAATCAACCACTGTCTTCTAATGTTGTTTTTTACAATATATTCATCTCATTTTAATGTTTTATAGCAATCTAGTGGTGCGATGCGGAAAGCCAGAGGAAATAATTCCAAGTCTTATAACAAGCATTAATAATGAATCTGTCAAAGTGGAAGGAATTTCTCTCCAAAAGGAGCCAACAAAAGAAGAAATAGATGTTGAGAATGCTATAGAAGCAAGAAGCAGTGTGCCAGTTCAGAAGTTTTGGGGGTTAACTTTGTATCATCCAGATGACTTACCATTTAGTATTAAAAAGTAAGAGCTAAACATAATGATGAAAAAATATATATTGAAGAAATATAAATTGCGAGCATGTTAATGATATGTGCAGATAAAAAGCATGAAAGGATTTTGGCAGAACATGAGCCGGAAGCATGTTAGGAGAAGCATGATGCATAGCAAACAGCTATTCTAATCTTTTATTTGTTAGAGAAGGTTGATTATTTTGGCAGCTTACGCTGATGTGGGCCTACAACTATCAATTATTTTGGACACAAATGATCATGAAATATAAATCATATGCATATGCTATGTGCTCCCAGCCCAAAAAAAAGTGTATAAGTAATATAAGGAAAAGAAACAGAAAATGTTATGTATAGCTTTTTGTATATTTTTGTTTGTGAAAAAAAAGTGCTCCCAGCCAATCAGAAGGCAATATTTATTACACTTATTTCATACATTTACTTACCCTTTACTGTCTGCCAATATCAAACTACAGGGTGCCCAATGTTTACACAGAATTCAGGAAAAATGTTGAACGTCACAGCGGAGTAAGAAGCACCATCAAGATGCCAGACAGGATGAAACCTTTACCTGATGGAATTGAGCCAGGAAATATCCCTACCTTTGATGAACTTGGAGTAAAAGGTGATACACATGATGGTGATGAGGATGACAATAATGCATGATGATGATAATGAAGTATGGTGGTGGCAATGATGCATGATGATGGTGATGTAACATGATGATGATGATGATGATGCATGATGATAATAATGGTAATGTTGCATGATGATGATGATCGTAGTGTTGCATGATGTTGATGAGGATGACAATAATGCATGATGATGATGATGGATTTGATGTATGGTGGTGGTGGTGATGATGATGGAGATGATTTGTTTATGAAGAGCCACAGATTTGTCCATAAAAACTGTTACATGTCACCCTCCTATATTAAAGTTGATTGGTTGATTATAATTATTATAATTATTATTGTGGAGATAATGTTGGTAATTATGATTGTCATGATGATCATATATGGTAATGATGATGATGACAGTGATGATGATGATGATGCTGATTGATGTTGGGGATGATGATGGTGATGATATATGATGATGATGACAACGACAATGTTTATAGAAGATGATAATTATGTTGATGATATCATTGGTGAAGATGTGATATTCATAATGATAATCCTTATTCTTTTTAATCTCTTTTATCAGAACCTTCTCAGGATTCCAAGTCAGCTTTCCCATTCCAAGGAGGGGAAACTTCTGGGCTTCAACGACTGCAATATTATTTGTTTGATACAGTAAGTACTTCAAGGTCATAACCTTTTTTTTATAATAATTAAAAATATATATTGATTATTATCGAAAGAGAAAGATGTAGTGTTGCCAGAGGACCTCAGATTCAAAATGAGCAAGAACTCAAATGAAATGTTCAGACAAGCAGAAAAATCTCAGGCAAAGGGGTTTGGGAGAACAAGGTTGCTATCAAAACAAAGGACGGAGGCATAAAGACAACAAAGGTTGTTGAAGAGAAAGGGAGAGAAAACAGGATGGGATTTTTTTCTTGAATGTTTTCATCATTTGACTTATTCTAAAATTTCCCATTAGGATTATGTTGCAAAGTATAAAGAAACAAGGAATGGTTTGATTGGCCAGGAATATTCTACCAAGTTTTCAACATGGTATGTATGGTTTTAGCAATATTTTATTGCAAATTGAAAATTTAAATGTATTTTATAAATGATTAGTATGCATGCATCATGATGATGACTGATGATGATACATGATGATGACCAATGATGATGACCAATGATAGAGGATGCTGATGATGATGACAATGATAATGACAATGATGGTCATGATGGTGTTGATAATGGCAGTGGTGGTGGTGATGATGACCACTGATGTTTATGACTGATGATGATACATGATGACCAATGATAGAGGATGCTGATGATGATGACAATGATGATCATGATGGTCATGATGATGATGGTGATGGCGGTGGTGGTGATGAAGACAATACTGATGATGACTTAATGAAACATGACTGACATGTGCAACTCTTCTTCAGGCTTGCACATGGCTGTTTATCACCTCGAAAAATTTATGAAGAAATCAAGAAATATGAACATCAGAGAACATCAAACCAATCTACATATTGGTAAGAGTTGTGCCTTGATGGATGAAAGAAATCCTAAAAACTAATATCTCAGCTTGGTTGGTTAGTATGCTGCCTGCTAAGCAAGATGACCATAGCATGCAAGGGCGGATCCAGGGGGCAAAGGGGGGCTAAAGCCCCCCCCTTCAGCAGAAAACAAAACAAAACGAAACTGAAGAATTATATGCTTTTTTTATTGTTTTCCATTGTGTTAACGGAAGAAACTCAATTAGACCCCCCCCAAACTCAATTAGCCCCCCTTAAATTTTGGCTGGATCCCCCTTGGCATGTTCTCAGTGTCCTGACACACTCGTTTTAAGGAGCAAATGTGGCTTGGGTGGTTAGTGTGCTGCCTGCTAAGCAAGAGGTCTATAGTTTGATCCTCAGTGACCTCACACACTTGTTTTAAGCAGCAAGTGTGGCTTGGTTGGTTAGTGTGCTGCCTGCTAAGCAAGAGGTCAATAGTTTGATCCTCAGTAACCTCACAAACTTGTTTCATGGAGCAATTGTGGCTTGGTTGGTTAGTGTGCTGCCTGCTAAGCAAGAGGTCCATAGTTTAATCCTCAGTGACTAACTAATCATTCCCTTTTTTTCTGTTGCAGGGTTATTTTCGAGCTACTTTGGAGAGATTATTTCAAGTTTGTTGCCATCAAGTTTGGAGACCGACTGTTTTATCTTAGTGGTGAGAATTAAGGAATGAATCATTTATTTAACTAGCATCATCATTACTTTTGGTGAGCTCTTATTCTTCCCTGCCCTAGTATGTGTTGAATGCTTTATTTTCCTTTCTTAAAGAATAACTTTACCAAAGTTTTACTTTCTATTTTATTTTCTCCATGCCCTCAACAATTTTGACACACAGCTCTTCATAAATAAAAGTACAATCTACAAAATGCATTTTTCAATATTCTGCAAACTCAGAAATTTTAAAGGCTTGTTGTAAAATCGGTTTTCACAAAACTAATTAGTTGGTACCTTTTATATTCTTGACTGGCGGCAACGAAACACCAAGTTCCAACAAGCAACTCGCAACTACAGAGGTCACATAATATTGAGAATTGCAGTAAAAACCTGTTAAAATTGTGCAATGGTGATAATCATCATTCATTCATTCATTATTTATTATTATTATTATTATTATTATTATTTATTAAGGATTGCTGGCAAAGAAAGTAGAATGGCGGCAAGATGAAAATCTGTTCAGAGCTTGGAAGGAAGGGAAAACTGGTGTTCCTTTTGTGGATGCCAACATGAGAGAACTAGCAGCGACTGGTTTTATGTCTAATCGAGGTAGACAGAATGTAGCAAGCTTTCTGACAAAGGACTTGAAAATGGACTGGAGGTTGGGAGCTGAATGGTTTGAATATTTATTGGTTAGTATAAAAGGCCTTTTTTTATTAACCCTCCCTTTCTTTTGCTCTGCTCTGCCCCCCTTTCCTTCCTTCCTTCTTCCCACTCCATTCATTTTCGTTTCCCTTTGAGTCCCATCGTCATTTCTTCTATTCCCATCTATTTTCTTCCTAATGATAATATTCTTCTATCTCTCCTCTTATCAGATTGATCATGACGTATGCAGTAACTATGGCAACTGGTTGTACTCCGCTGGGGTTGGCAATGATCCAAGACAGGACCGTAAGTTCAATATGGTAAAACAAGGCTTGGATTACGACCCAAAGGTAAAAAAAAACACCCTCGGGGTGGGGGTGGGGTTAGGGTGGAACGTATCTTTTTTCGTCATGTATACACTTATTTCAATAAAGTTATTCACCAAAAAACCTAGAAAGCTGAGATCACTGAGGATCATGGGAAACTTTTAATATCAAACAAGTAAAGCTTTTGATACATTTTGCAGCTTGGGGATGCTCAGAAGAGGTGAGACTTTAAATGGTAAAAGATCTAAAACCATCAACAGTTATTAAAGCGGCTGAAACATGTAAAATGCAACTACCCATAATCCTTGTCTCATCTTTGTAGCTTTTCAGGTGACTAACTATATTGAAATAAGTGTAAACTACGCGATTATGCAGAAAGATGTGGAATCCGGGATCCAGAGCGCAGAATAATGATAAAAGTAGAATAATATCGCTTTATTTATAAATGAGGTTAAAGAACTAAATCTAAAATGCGGAGTGCAAGATGCGAATTCCGAAATCTAAGATGCGAAATCCCCAATCTAAGATGCGAAAAATACGTAATTCGTCTACCTATGATTTTGCCCAAATTGAAATTTAAGATGTGGAATAAGAAATCCAGGACGCGGAATTCGAAATCCATCATGTGGAATCTGATATTCCAGATGCGGAATTTGGAATCCAAGATGAGGATTCCGAAATTCACGAAATTTAATGGAATCTAAACTCCAGCGTGCAAAATTCGAAATGCAAGCTGTGGAATCTAGAATCCAGGAAATGGATAAATCCGGAGTCCAAGATGCGGAATCCGGTATACCAGATGCGGAACCCAAAACGCAAGATGCGGAATTCGAAATGCGGAATAATGTTTTCTTTCTATTTTCGATAACAGCTCAGGATTCGTTAAAACTCGTATCCTGCAAAAAACAAGATACAATTAACAGTTAGGTGAAAAAACTCTTGATTATATTTTTACGACTTACCGCGATTTCTTTATAAACCACAAGCATTATACCGACTCCAAAACCGTGCTTGGGCTACCTGTGTTTTTTTCTTATATCAACCTAAACAATATGCACGATAAGCCCTCTATCGTTTTAGGGTGATTACGTGCGTCAATGGGTACCAGAACTGTCAGGCGTTCCTGGTGGTGACATTCACACGCCTTGGAGACTGAGCCGAGCTTCTCTTGCGCATGCGTCAGTGTCACTTGGAGAGACGTACCCAATGCCGATTGTTATGGCTCCTGAATGGGATCGTCACAGCACTAAACCCGTAAGGAATTAGAAATAAACTTTGCTTCTCCCCTTCCCTCCCTCCCTCCTTCCTTCCCTCCCTCCCTCCCTCCC